ACAATAGCTGTTTTCTATTTTAATATATTTTCAAATGTAATTTATTCCTGTGATGGTAAAGTTGAATTTTCAGCATCATTACTCCAGTCTTCAGTGTCACAAGATCCTTCAGAAATCAGTCTAATGTCTTGGTGCTCAAGAAACATTTCTTATTATTTTGAATTTTATTTGAAATTATATATGTCTTGTCTACTTTATTATTGGCTATTATATTATTTTGATATTATATATTACAATGTGCTTTCATATTTTCAAAATTGTATTATATTACATTGTAAAGAATCATTTGTGTCAGCTACATGTATTCTCAATGTTTTCAGATTGTCCTGTGGTAGATTTTTGTACATTTTCCGGTAATTGAAATGTAATTTTAATTTTACTGAATTTTGAGTAAACATTTTGTGAAAAGTTCTCTTTTAATTTTAGCAATTTGGTATCTCATTTGCTATGGTTAAAGGCTGGAATGCTCAAAAATACACAAATTTTGCACAGAGTTTTGCCCGATTTACAGTCTGGACAAGATGACACAATAGTTGCCAAATATCAGAGCCAGACTGCAGATTTGAGTTTAGTTGACAGATTTCATAGAAAACCGCATAGTGTATGATGGTCACAGACTATTTTGAGCTGATTTTAGAACACATATGCCAAATTTACACTGCAAATGTGGCACAGAAGCGTTTCTGAAGTGGCATTTAAGTGTCTGTTTAATGCTGCTCAAAAGTGGCAGGAATGTACACTGTAAAAAAATCTGTGAAATAATGCAATAAACATTAATTTAACAACATTAGATGTAAGATAACACCCTAATGTACACAACTGATAAGAATAAACTAAGAAGAAACATAGTTATTTCAACGAAAAAACTAAATATGAAGTGTCATGCACGGAATTCTGGGAGCGTCAATTTACGTTTTTTCACTGTAAATTATATAATGACTTTTTCTTTTTCACCTCCAAAAACCGTAATTTTAACAGTATTTTACTGTAAAATTACATTAAATGTAATTACAGTTATTCACCGTATATAGTATGGAAACTTACTGTTAATCAATTAATTTACAACCTGCCATGCTACAACAATCAAGTCAAGTCAAGTCAAGTTTATTTGTACAGCGCTTTTCACGATACAAATCATTGCAAAGCAACCTTACAGCAAATTAAGTTTCTACAATATTTAGTGGTGTGTATTTCGAAAATAGCAGAGGACCTAGGACAGATCCTTGTGGCACTCCGTATTTTACTGGTGATAATTGAGATGACTCCCCATTTAAATTAACAAAATGGTAGCGATCGAACAGGTAGGATCTAAACCATCTTAAAGCCTGCCCTTGAATACCTGTATAGTTTTGTAATCGATCTATGAGTATGTCACGATCTATAGTATCGAACGCAGCACTAAGATCAAGTAAAACTAGCAATGAGATACAGCCTTGGTCTGACGCAAGAAGCA